GATCGCTCGGCAAGGCTCTCCAACCTGTAATCCCACCAGGAGTCTCCCAGAGGCAGTATCGCCTGTCCTGTGGCTGTCCCATTCAGCTTGCCAGGATAAAACCTCATTAAGACTGAGTGTTCAGCTGATTGTCTGAGCCGAGGACAGCTAGCTTGGAAAAGCTGCGTGTGAAGGTGACCTGGAGAGACGGGATGTTTGATTAAGGGATTTGAGAGTGCGTAGGAGCAGAACCACGTCTTTAATCTGCGCTGGGCCAGGCTGCATTGTTCCTGGTTAGTGCTGTTGTCAGGTGTCAATTGAAGAAGGCAGTTGACCAGGACGTGATGTTGGGATATCAACCACTGTGCCAGAGGCCTGGTCACACCATCACAGGGTTATTTTTGGGGTCCTGGCTATGTTCAGAGCTGTCAAGCTTTTCATTCTTCCGTTCAACAGAAGATCTAAAAATATCTCTGTGAAAGTAGAACATTATTAGGCATTCGTGATGTCCTGAAGTTATCAAGCTGATAGTGCTGAAGGCACCAGGACATCAGAGGACACCAGAACCTGCTGCTCCCCCTCTCTCGCTCCTGATATTTGTCATGGGGGGGGCACTCTTCCACTCACAGGGCAAGGCTGGGGAAGCTCACAAGTCGCGGGAATGTGTCGGAAACTATTTCCGTACTGTTTTACTTTTATAGAAATGTTTTTGGCAGCAAATTAAGTTTGACGTGCCTGTTTCTCCCTGGAAATAAAGCTTCAAACCCAGCTGAAAAATGCACTAACGATATGAAACCTCCCTTTACCTGCCCAAGCAAACGATGGGTGAATATGAATATTACACTGTTAGTACTGTCAGGGAAGCTCTTGCGTGACGTTGCATGAAGCAGGGCTCTCTCTGGGGCTCTGCGGATGCATGCTGGTCAGATGGCGTGTTTACACGAGCGTGTTTGCAGGTAGTGTTGCCACAGAGCGCAGAGAGGTCAGCGAGGCTGTCCCGGGCTGTGCGTCAGTCGGCCGGCTCTGAAGACACAAGGTCAGGACCATAGCGGGGCACAAAAACAGCCTGGCTGCTGCCAGCGCACATGGGTGAAGACCCACGACACTGGCCCAGGGACACACCGCTCTGCAGAACAAAAGGTCCTCGTTTTTACAACACTTTTTTCAAAAAGGTGAAATAAACATCTACAGAGCAGTAACCTGTAGCCATATTTCTGTAGCTGAAGTCAGGCCCAGGTCTCAGGTCTTTCCCAGTCTAATGGTTTAATCAAGCATGCTAAATGAGCTTTCAGGAATAAATCCCACCACCGCTGGTCTAGTGTCTTGGAGCTCCTCAGTGGAGCTGCGACGGGCTGTCAGGCTCCTGCAGGCTGTTTCACTGACTCTTCACTGATGTGCACTGGCTTAAGCCCATCTCTCCGGGTCTCCAGGCAAAGGGAAACCCCACTGCAGCGTCAGGAGCTGCTGGGGGAGGTCGCAATCAGCCGGACAGTTCCCGAGCACGCAGCTGGCGGCAGGAGGAAGGGGGTGCAAGGGGTTGTGCTGGATTTGGGGAGCTCTCTGCAGAATCCTGAGAAGCCCCTGCAGTTGTATGGCTTCTTACTGCTCCAGTGCACCAGTTGCGGGCCCTGGTTGAAAGATATTACGTCAAGGTGCCATGTAAAATACTCACGAACCGGATTCAGGGTTTTCAACAGAACTGGGGCAGGGTTCAGAATTACAGCTGGGGGGAGGCAGGGATGATGCCATTTAAGGAATGACACTGTCTTGAGGTATTATTCATAGAAGGGTTTAATAAAGACAGTGGAATTTATTTTCTTAAAAGAATTACAGGGAGATTAAGAGGCAGTTATTGTGTTAGAGAAGCTCAGGGACTGGAGGCTCTGTTCCCATTAAGAGATTGATCCTCCAGCTGCAGTTGGGATGCAGTCATGTTGAATGCATGCATTGTGCCGTGATCAATTTCATATTGTGGCATACTTTATTTACACTCTTCCTTAGTGTCTTTTAAATAT